AAAAGACAGGGGCAGCCTGAACCTCAGCTGGGCTTTCACCCCTAACAGTGAGGTGCTGGCAGTTGCTCGGGGTAGTGCGTGAAAACCCACCACAGCTGGTTTAATACCACTTCATGAAACTACTGAAAACTTGCTCTTCAAGCACCTTTCTTCCACTTGTAGCTTTCCTTTACAATGTAAACAAAAAGGTGAATACTTCAATCCAACCACCCTGGAAAAGCTGCTGTATCCCTGCCACGGGCAGCGTCAGGTTAAGGCAAGACTGACGCTCTTGCAGAAACCACGGATGATGGAGAGTTAACTGCACTTTGTATATTACACTGATTCCTGGGCCAAGATAGTTAATATTTAACTGGTTCAAGTGAAATAGTAGAGAAGGGAGATGATGTATGTGTCAGGGTGACACACTGGATGACGCTTATTTCACTTACTCTCTTTTTACTGGAGCTCTGACCTACAGGTAAGTTCTTACAGTAACATTTAAATCACTTTCCTCTACAAAAAACTCACCAAATCTCACACTAGCCCAGATCTGCAAGTGATTCAAAACAGGAGCCTGGGGCTCCAGCTCTGAGAAGACAGGAAGAAATTAGACTCTGATGTACATTCTTTAAAAAAGGAATTTTATTGTTACAACTGAAATGAGAACTGAAAACTTGTATGGGAAATTGAAAAACTGTACAATTTTACTATAACCTGTGAGGTCTTTGCAGCGGCTTACACAAAAGACAAGATACCTGAAAATGTATTATACCAAAACATTTAGCTTTTTTGGTTTTTTATTTTTTTAAAAAAGTTTATTCTATGGCAATCTGTAAAAAAGAAAGACCTGATGAGTAAATATTTGCTTAAGGCATATAGCAGAGCAGCTCACTAACTTTCTAACAAGTTTAACATGGATATTTGTCCATTTTCCAAGAATAGGTTAACCAATACACCCACTTTGAAACGCTACTGTATATACACACCCAAACTACTACATACATATACAGGACATCAAAACAAAAATGTTTACAGTTCAGTATTCTAAGCCTTATACACACCTCACTGGGCTTGTGGGATATCCCACTGTCTATGCCGGGCCACTGTAAGTTCTGGATTTGGAACAGATGAAAGAAATGGCAGAATACATGGGCACAAAGGGGACATTCAAAACTTTATCATCTGCAGAAACTTCCTCTTGTTAGAATAATTTGCAAGTGAATTACTCTGGATTCAAAGGAAGGATGCTTTGCTTTCCTGTCCAGCCTAAATTTTAAAATATTCCCTGTTGGGAACAACAAAGAGGTGGGTTTTGTTGGTTGTTAAATGGGCCACCACTTCAGGAGCCTCAATTTCTGCAGCCCAAAGCATGCTCCAGAGACCTTGCCATAGAGGCGTTCCTCTCCCTCCTCCAGGGCAGCTCTGAGGGCAGCACAGCAAGCCAGACCCTGCAACCGTGGAGCTATTGCTTGCCTGAAGTGACCAGAGGTGAGGTGTGAATAGGGCTTACGGAACTCTCTGGAATGTCGGTACTATAGTTACTCAGCTGAAATGAACCATGCTAACACCCGGGTTACACTGAGTACGCAGAATTCAATAGGAAGTCATGCCAAGGATTAGGCGAGTACATTATCTGATAAACACCAAATCAGTCCATCGCTGGACAGAGATACTTTCAGCAACACCCTTTGAACCACAGCCACTTATGATCAGTTCATGCAAATATAATCTGGGCACATCAGTAAGCAGAAATATAAGTTCTTTCACCTTTCAAGCACGTGGTATTTAATCAGGACACTAGAGGACTTTACATGCATTTTAATACAAACAGGGTACAAATGTACCTTCAAACAATATTCTACCAGATGATGGAGAGAACAGTGGGGACAAAGCAATCACATACTGTATCTTAAATACACAGATGAGCCATTATATATTACCATTTGTCTATACTCATTTTTCATGTTTCCAATAATATAACTAAATAGTGACTGATTACAACATTCCTCCTTTCAAGTACTGGTCTGACCAACAGTCTCACAGGTAAAGTATTGATTCCCAGTACTACCTGAGGATTTATTATTGTACTTTTGAAAAGCCCTTGATGCAAGCTTAACAAAACACAAAATAGAAATAACTCCCACCCGCCCTCCCCCACTCACCAACTTATTCTCTGAAGGAAAAGAGCTACACCTACGACAGCTTTGCAAAAATAAGTATGGAGTGGAGAGAGACTTACATAAGATACTCCACAGCGATGTCTGCACTGAGAATGGTGGTTAAGTGCTATAGATCTAGAAAGCCTTTAAAAATAAAAAGAACAGATTAGTAACGGCGTTGCAAATCAGCTGTCATGGTTTAGTTTCAATCACTACAACTCTCAGCAGCGAGTTTACTCCTACCCTCTGCCCCATGACACGAGCAAAGAAATCTTTGCTATCGTTGATTAAACTATTTATAATTTGGTACAAACAAGAGGACCAGCATTGACTCAGATGAGTGCAATGCCGACTTCCAGTCACTGTTCTACCAATGCACCCAAATCCTTATTTACAAGCACTTTACATTATTCAAGTCCTGGGCCCACAGGACAGACCCCCTGACTGCGCAAACAATGCAGACACAGCGTGGCACAGGACAAACCCACCCCTCTTCCCTCGCTGACTTTGGATAGCAACAACCCTGTCTACAGAGGTGCAAGACTCACCCTCCTACACCACCGTGTCCAGTAAGTACTGAAGAGCGTATCTTCAAGCCAAACTCTAGCCAGTATTTGAATCTTTGCTTTAAACAAAGCAGAACACACAAACGCTTGCATCATAAGCCAACTGATAGATTCACAGACCATCATCTCTTCTGTTGAACTTTTTACATCTTAAGGAAGCTGCCACAGCATTAATTGCTCTGGATTTACTGAAACGCTTTCCCGGTCACTGCCTGCAATGCCTCTGAGTCCGTCACCTCCCCGGCCCTTGCAGGAAGCACGCTACTCCTTACGGAGCAGACGGAGAGTGAAACTGCATTTTACATTCCAAATGATGAGGTTTAAGAACTGGTCCTTCTGAATGCCAGCTGCACATCTGCAAAATGCTGGTGGATATGTTTTGGTTGAATTTCCCTTCCTGCTTCTCTCCCTCCCCATAACCTCTCCTAACCCAGAATATAAAAGTAAAAACAGCTTTACAAAGGATGGTGCAATGTAAATAGGCATATGTGCAAGTAGAGTGCAACAAAAGTCAATGAGGAGATACACTTATTAAAAAAAAAAAAGCAAAAAAAAAAAAATCTTGACATGTTGGGATACCCTGAGCAAATGCAGAAGCCTGTTTCTATAAACACATGTAAAACAATAAG